GGAAACCACACAGACATGACGATTAGGTACTATGTTGACAACAGTTTTATAATCTGTCATTGTGATCCACGTTTAAATTGTATTTTACAACAATTCAGTGAATCAGAGTTTCTGTTTCTTGCTGTAGAACTGACAGGCGGCGGTTATGGGACTCTGGAATGATCTATCCTCATAAAACTGTCACACAGTGGCCAGCTAAAAAACTCTTATAGTTGGATACCCGTAAGTCGTCAATGAGCACTCATCGTTTCATTTGCTCACCCTATCAGGAAAATCTTCAGCAGGACTATTTAGAAGACTAGATCTTTCTTCTCAAAAAAAATCCTGGCTGAAAATGGAAACTGGGCACAATTTGTAGAAAAGAACATGAAAGTAAAGCCAAAAGTAGAAGAATACATTTCATGATCAAAGGAAATACTGTATATGGATATGGAATTCAGAAGAGACTTGACCGCAAATACCCTAGAGAGGATAATCCCTAGTTCCATAAAGAAGACCTTCCCTGAAGCAACTCTAAGAATGACATTCACTGACCTCCCGCTTCTTCGAAGTAATTTGAAAGACAAACCACAGCATGTGACCATTCCAAAATACAGATATCAATTCACCTGCTGCTGTCAGAACAGTTTATTATCCACTGACCTATCTAACCATAAATGTGGCTAAAAACGTATAAAAATGAAGTGATTTTCTTCAATAAAAATGTTCGTAACCAAGTCTCTTGGTCTCTTCCGTTACATATGCACCTAGGCACATATATGGCTCTATGTGTGTCATTCCAAAACGTGTTACAGAGCATTACCCAACACGCATGAAAAGAGGAGACACTGGTTTAGTCGGAAGCTCTGTAGTTGGACATCTCGTCAACACCTCTCACAACTTCTTAAATGACTCATCATTCAGATTCACTTATAAGTGTACAAAGATCTATCAAAAGCGGTACGTTTCCAACTTCTTTGTACTACAGAAACCCACGTCACGTGCATTGCGAAGCTGGAGCTATGTGTTCAGAAGAAAGAAGTTCAGCCTATACATCCACCATGGATCTAGTTTTGTTTAATTCCTTAATTTTTATTTGTTTGTTTTTCATCCCACCCATTTTTTCATCTTCGGTCAGGAAAACTATTAATTCAGTTTGTCTCTATACCCATCCCGTTCATATCTGTCTTCCTTAGAACCTACTCGACATATTACGCAACTATTTCCTAATCCTGTGTGATTTTATTTCTATACGCTGTGTGGTCTATATTCACATCGGTCAAACTTTCATATCAAGTTAAAAATTTTGACCAACTTTAACATCACTTCGTCAAAATGTTGAATTAAATAATAATAATGATAATAATAATAATTTAACGATGTTCATCCTGCAATAAATTTAACCATCGAGAAAGAAAAAGACTCTAGTATTTCATTTTTAGACGTCCCTGTGACCAGAAAAGAGGACGGTGCAATAACAAGAAGTGTATATAGGAAACCTAGTCCAACTGGTCAGTATGCTCATTTTTTTAGCTCCGTGCATTTGAAATAGAAACGTAATCTGATAAAATGTTTGGTCCACAGAGCAAGAGCAATCTTCTCTGATGAATATCTTAATGAAGAACTTAATATTATCAAATAGTTGCTGAGTGAGGACGGTTATCCATAAAAATTCATTGATAAGAATATGAATAAAAAATCAATGCAGCCCAAGGTCCCAACAGTTCCTAAAAAGGCCTTATTCTTACAACGTCAGTTCCTCGGGGATAACATCAGCGAGGTATTAACACAATGTCGGAGAAATGCAGTAAAAAGAGCATTTAGTGCTGCTGAATTACACTGTGTCTTCAAAACCACCCCTATTTTGCTTTCGGGAGTAGAAGACAGACTGCTTAATTTCTCCTCTTCTGTGTGTACTAACCAATTTGACTACTCCTGTGGAGACGGTTACATAGGCCGTACAATTAGGCGTGTTTCTCGTCTGATTTCCGAACGTCACTCTGCGTGGTTAAGCAAAGGACAAACAAAATCCATTCATAGCGCTATTCTGTCTTATCTTGTGCATACAGAACACAAGATTGATGTTCAAGAGGCTTTCAGAGTTATATACCGCATACCAACTAATCTTAACTTCACCTTAAGAGTTCGTCTACTAATAATTATGCCTGAGGCCTTTGGGATCCATATTAAGAAATCTAACTTATGTGTCCAAAAGAAGCTGATTGGTTCAGGTCCTTACCTTGGCCGTCAAGACTCAATGATCCTCAATTTGTTATGGAAATTTCCTTAATTTTATTTGATATTTTATTTGCTATTATATTTGTATGCTTATTATAATTTATGCATCTTTCGTGAACTGTAATTCCACTGACCTTACTTAACACATCGATAGTATTTAAAACCACCAATATTGTTATTGACTACTATTCTCGAATATTCTATGTATATAAACATATATACATAATTGTAGAGCCAGAAGAGGAAATGATCAAAAAGGATATTGTTTGCTCAACTTTTTTTGTTTTTTCCAGATGTCTGAATAAATATTTTCACTAAATCTATGCAGAAAAATGCGATTGTACAGCTGCTTTTGAGGATTAGTTCACAGAAAATGTATCTTTTTGCTGAGCTTCTTCTTCTTTTCTCTCTAAAGATTCGGAATTTGTTGACGTATTCACTTGCTATAAGCGCCGATGAATTAACTGAGACACATTATAAAACTACAAATCGACAATCTACTTCATCTCTATGCTGCATACATGAGGTGGCATATGGATAATGTAACTTATTGAATTAGTTGTGTTCTCTGAACTGGTTCATTTAAACGAGAGGCTTTCATCGTCAGCCTTCTAGACCACATCTTCAACGCAGGTTTTAGTTTAAAAGTGAACTCAATTAAATTCTTCATGTGTCAATGGACGTGGACATTGAACGTTTGTTTATTGACCTTGGTAGCCATTGGTGGGCAACTCGAAGGCGCGATTGGTTAAATCGTGAACAAGTTGGAAGAAGACGAAAGAATACGAATAAAAGTACACTGTATTTATTTGCACAAAACATTTGTTTATAGACTTGTAATTGTCTTTACTTTAATTACCAAACAATATAACTTTCAAACGAGTACTGGTGTTTTGGAGATAAAGTCGAGAAAGTACATAGTAATTATCGGTTCGAAGCGTCTTCGTTACAATAGGAACTTTGGGTTAAGTTCCTTGGCATCATGAGTAATGTAATTGTATCTTCTGACGACCACTTTCGTGACTGGTTGTTAATTTACGTCTGCATTGATCTTGCTTATTGACTTGGAATTCGAACTTTCTTGTTATATGATTTACCTTTTCTTCACGGATAGAAATTTTATTTTGATAAAGTCACACAGTGTTGTCCAGTAATATTAAATGATGACGTTTCAAGTAAAAATTTATTGCTCATAGTCACATCAAGGTAATCAAACAAAGTTGTATGAGTAAATATTACTGTACAACACTGTGTGACTTTATCAAAATAAAATTTTTATCCATAATGAAAGGTGAATCACATGACCAGAAAGTTCCAATTCCAAGTCAGTATAAAATAATATATGTTCGTACAACCAAGTACAGGAACTCAACGATACCATATTTGGCCCGTGTTCTAAGTGACAGAGACAATGTTAGGCGTGAAACCTATGACTTGCTTTGTTGTTAATAACATAATTTTAGGCTCTTTTTATTTCTCTCTTATTTTGTATTCTATAATGAACTCCTTCTTAAACATGCTTAGCTACCTAAATTATTTACATTGGCTTCCTTTTTTGTACTTTACCCTATTCCTTCTTTTGTGTATCTACCGGTTCCGTCTATACTAGCACTATGAGTATTAAAAAATTGTCCTGTCATTAACCATCATGTAACTATTAGTTTTGTGGTTGTTTTTGTTTCGGCAATATTAACTGACAATCAGTGATTGTGAACACCATTATCACCATCTTAAAATTCTGTGTTCTCTTATGATTGTTTAGTGTTGTTTTCAACCAAATTAACTGATCATCTTGGCGATAAACATTCTTAAATATCATTTCATAACTTCTTGTATTACTGTAGTTGTACTGTTTACCATGCATTATCATATCATAACTTCCACTACCCAATACTGAGTTATTATTTTGTGTTGCTTATTCTCCTTTCTACTTCTTGGTATTTTTTCGCATTTGTTAAAAATTATTTTTTTTTTCTTTTATTTTGTTTTTTTGTTGTTGTTGTCTTTATATTTATTTTTTGAAATACTCTTTTTAAATGTTTGGTAAAATTAGATGCCAATATTGTAGATATGTGCTGAAAATTCCACACTGTACCACTGGTACTGTTTCTGGAATAAAGCAAATTATTATGATTATCATTATTAAGTACATAAACAAGATCAATGTAGACGTAAATTAACAACCAGTGGTCTACAGGAGATACAATTACACCATTCGTGGAGAATTTAACTGAGTTCACCTTTAGACCAAAACCTGCACTGAAGATGTTGTCAAGATGAAAGCTGTTCAATTAAATCAACCGGTTCAGAGAACATAACTAATTCAATATCATCCACCTGAGCTGCAAATCTCCATTATTTCAAAACGTAACTTATTATTCGTGTTGCCAACAGCACTATTATGAATTCGATGAACAAGTACACAAAAATTCGTCATACCTTCAAAAAGAATCTCCCAATGTTTATTTTTTCTTTTTATGAGTGTTTTGCGTTGTTGTTTCTTAAGTGGCCCCATTTTATCCCAGTTTAATAATATATCTATAAATTTACACAACTTGCAGAGCAAAACTATTTTATTTCTTTCCGTAATACATCGGCATCGTTTATGTGAACATCAACATCTGTTAACACTGAAACTTACTGTTTAACACCTTTCCAAAAATGAACACCTGGAAGCATTCTGCACTCAGTATGTACATGATAATCGGATGTCCCAAATTCCGGTTAATTATTTTAAGCAACTTTCAAAATAAAATCACTATTTAAAAAAAAATAAAACTTACCGCGTTGTAATATCCCTTCCAGACCGTGTATTGACGGTAAGTTCGGTGATTTCATATGTAAACGATATAATAAATTAACTGCAGAACAATTCCATTGTTCATGTTGAAACTGGTGAACGCATTCATGCATACCTAAATGTGTCCCTTCAAGCATTGCCCAGATAAGACCAGAATGTTGTAAGCAGATATAACGTTGACGATTTGTAAGTCCAGTCAATGCATGACATATTCCTGTTTCATGCGCAGATAAATCATTATCACTTTTAATAATACTACCAAATGGAATAAATGAATGAACAGTATCCTCTGGATAACTGTTTGGCTGACTGATTGTATGATAATAACCCGATGGTTTCAGTGTGTTGTCTTGCTGACTTAAATATAGTGACTGTTGATTGTGTACTTCAGAACCACTAGCTCGAATTGATTTACGTCCTGGTTGATTGAAGTTTGACGAATACATTAAGTTGATTGGTTCAGGAAAATTTGTCATTTGACTAATGTAACGTTCATGTGTATAGGATGGTGAATTTTGTTTTTTCAAATGACTTAAAGTTAATAGATCAAATACCCTGAAAAATAAAATAAGAGGAATAATGGGGATGTAAGTATTTTGAACTACAGATAGTCTGTAACAATTTATAGCATAAAATCTCTGAAATGTTTCCTTTTTTACGTGATGAAATCAGCTACCACAGTGATGCTATGAAACTCAAGGTAAAAAACGTTTCAGGATTTCATTAGGAGGTGACGTTGGTTAGAGAACCATTAGAAAACCTGGGAGTATTGAATAGTCAGTTATTTCGTCCTAGCTTGGGACTCCTCAGCAAGATGCACCTATCACAGGGCGTTAGAACCCAGTACCTTCCCGTTACAAGGTCAGCTGGCAGACCACTGAGTCACAACCATCGAGGACAAATACTGGATCAGATCCCAGTGGCTTAATGGTCTGCAGGCTTGACTTGGAACTGGAAGGTCCTAGGTTGGGACTCCGCTGGATGCGTACTTGTGAAGAGTCCCAAACTAAAATGAAACGGCTGTCTAATGCTCCCAGGTTTCCCAATGATTCTCTAACTGACGTCAGCTTATGCTGAAATCCAAAACCAATCAAATCTCTGCAAACCAACACTTGAATAAAAAAACGTTTATTGAATAATCCGTGCCCTAGGTGATGCGATAAATGTCTATGAAACATTTGTAAAAAATTACATTTGTAAAGCCTCAGCGAGATTGAAATGAGTAATTCCAACGTTTCGTTCGGCAATCTGGTCCGAACTTCTTCAGGGCAATTAATCGAAATTAATATAACAGAGGTTTATATATAAAAAGGAACATCACTTGATTTGTAAAAATTTGTCTAGACAAAAAAAGATGTGCCTTTTATATATGAAAAACCTCTGTTATGTTAATTTTGATTAATTTCCCTGAAGAAGTTCGAACCAGATTGCCGAACGAAACGTTGGAATTACTCATTTCAATCTCGCTGAGGCTTTACAAATGTAATTTTTTACAAATGTTTACTTCTCACTCGGCGCCCAAATATTTTAGAACTATTCTGTCAAATCTTGACAACAGTTCATTTGAATGTCTATGAAACATTTGGTTTTTATCGCCGATCACTCATCATCTCTCAAACGATATTTTTGAAATCAATGTACTAATATAAAAGCCTATTGGGTGTATAGGTCATCGTAACAACGATCTAATTGCAGTGATACATTTCGTTGCTGTATTCAGGTAATGACGAAAGTAATATATTTCTTAGGTTATTGTTATAATTCTCTTGGGTTCCTAGTGGGAAATAGGACTGCAACATCACACCTCCATTTCATGTTGTTCCTTACTTTCCTTCCTTGGTAGCTCTATGAATGTCCATGGGCTGTCATCGCCTCCCCACCCAATAGTTTCTAAGTCCGCCTCAAACCCATTTCTAACTCGTCGCTTCCCAATCGGGTTCCACTTAAGAGTCTACCTGGTGTGTGATGCAGGTTGATGGTTTCCTGGGTGTGTTCCTGATCCATATCGATTTTCTTTGCGATGTTTGTTGGGTTTCAGTTCGTTGGTTGGTTGGTTTTCAGAGTTTCGTGTTGTTCATCATTTCTGGTCATCTGTTCTTCAGTATAGAGGCAGCGAAGGCAGCTGCAGCTAAAAGTCTGTATTTCTTAGATACTTGACATTAAATTATGAACTCCTAAAAATGTTTTTAAGGTATTTATTCGAAAGGTCCTTCAGATTTTGTTTGTCTTCCCCAGCAGATGATTCTTGATAGTCGTATTTAAGTAACAATTTTCAAAGTTAAACAATATAAAGTTGCATTTTCATAATTTTACGCTAGCATATATGGCTTATTGCATTTTAACTGCTCCATTTTTACCCGTATCCTAGAGGTGCTAGTTCAAGCTGAGGTATTTAAGGGAATATAATTTCCTTATTAAATCCTTATGTCTCGACCCCTTTACTTTATTTATTATTATTTATTTTATCCCTCTGTGTTCAGAGTGAAACATAGGGCTTCAAGATTCAGCGAGGAAGTTTCAGTAACAGTGGGTATCTTTTTATTTTTACGAGTTAAGGTCGCTAGCCTCACGTCCAACCTCCCCTCTTTACTGGAATCAATACTAATTTAGCTAGGTGTACGCGTGTGTTGACCAAGAATCGAATCCCGGATCACATGAGGCTTGGTTGGCGAGCATTCTACCGCTGTATTATCGACACACCCATATTTCAATTCCTTTATTTAGAAAGAAGTCCTTACTATTCCTCTTCATAAATGCTACTTTTTTACTTTAATCTCCTAATAATAATAATCACAGATATACGAGTAATTCACAATATTATCAGTCCTTAAATTGTACGTTTCATTCCTTCTGTTCATTTGGTTTCATACGGTGGCTAGAAACCATTCTTATTTCTAGAAAATTCATTAAGTCTTTCCGTACATTAGCGATTTTTAACATCACTCGTAACTTCATTTACTTGAAAATCGTTGTTTCTAATTATGCCCCACAAATATCATCCCTCTAAAACAAAAAGTTCCTGTCGAATTTGTTAGACACTGTGAAGATTTTGTTTGATTTAATAGATAGTTCCTTTAAGGCCCCAAGCAATTTATAAGATATTACAAAATGACATGATATCGTATTATCCCACTAAAACTTTTGTTCTTAATTTATCCATATTAAATTACTTATCATCAAGTGTTGATTTGTTGAGATTTGATTGGTTACAGGATTGGTCACGAGCTCACATCAGTTAGAGAACCATTGGGAAGCTACCAGAGAGTACTGGACAGCTGTCTTGTCCTAGTTTGGGACTCTTCATCAGTACTCACTCACTGGGGTTCGAACCCAGGACCTTCCAGATACGAGGCGAGCTCGTAAGCCATTCAGCCACTGAGACCCAGTGAGGTCCATCACATCAGGCAAGAGGACATTTGCTTTCCTATGACACTGGCTGACAGTTGCGCTAAATAAATGTCACGAATCGGCAAAAGTTGAAATTCATGGACCATTGGGAAAATAAATCTCCTAAGATTAACTCCGCAAATCGAAAAAATGCAGTGTGATAGCTCCACCAGAAAGACAAACGAACTTGAAATTGAGCACGAAGTTACTTCAGTTGAAAAAAATACTATCAAAACTAATGAATACTGAAAGGCCGTTTGGTCCTTGTTTAAGACTCTTCAGTAGTACTACACGTGAAGTTCCTGATTTCGATCCCTGGTGCGTTCAAAGGTGCTTACCGATGAAGAGCCTCAGACGAGGACGAAGCAGCTATGAAGTACTCCCTGGCTATCACTGGTTCTCTGACTGAAGTCAGTGCGTGATCAATCTTGAAATCAGTCAAATCCCTTCAGACCAACACATAGAGAAATTCACGCCAATTTCGATACAAATATTAATTCATCAGTTTGCAATAGCGACAGAAAGAAAACTCAACCCACATTAGGACATATCGTTAAGAAATAATTTTAAGATCGTTCTATTCATGATCAGAACTAACTGAAATTCATTCACACGTAGAACAGCTATCTGTAGAATTATGCTAAAATCACTAATTGAGTAACCGAAAGCGAAAACAAAGTAGAAAATTAAAGCAGGTGATTCAGCCAAGAGATGCTTTTCAACGATTTCATTATCAAGCTGTGCAGTTCTATAGATATGACATCTTTTAAATAATGGTGTGAACTGTGACAAAATATCTGTGACAAACTTAATTATGTACTTTATAAAATGGTTCATGTGATGTATGAATCTTAGGAGATGGCTTTCCACATCATGTGTATTGCTGAGGCTTTGGCCACCGATTTAGAAAACTTGGAACTTTGTATGCAGAAGAAGTTTGTTCAACCAGTCTTTTATTCATGGTCCTAATCTGTCTATGCTAAAATATTGAAATTTCCGTTTCTTCCTTGGCCCTACTCATTTTTCATTTGATTTATTTAAGTCAATTTTGATTTCCCCGTCGATCAACTGGACCGAAATATTCTGCCACTGTTGAAATGTTTGATGGTTTCAACTATGTCTCAGGACTCACATGAAGTAACTTGGGGGACAATATCTAACAGTGAAGTTCGTGATAGGTCTTTCGTCCCATCAGAGACTCATCACTGGATGTACCCATACTCCCCAGTGAGTAATAGTCTTCCCTCCTACCCCTAGACTTGAACCCAATACTCACCACTTCAAGCGTGAAAACGTTCATTCAATCTGTATATCTACCCCTTATTATTTCCATTATTAGTATTACTTTCACCGTGAATAATTCCCCCCCATTAATTCGCTACATTCCATGAATCACTTTACAAAGTATATAACTTATCTTATTGCTTGATGTTTGACTATGAATTTAATCACAAATATTTTGCCGCGTTTCACACCATATATATACGATTGTACAGCTTGACAATCAATTCACTGAGAAGCCTCTCTTCCGTGAATTATGTGTTTTAATTTTCTACATCTTCTAATGGAAATTTCCCATGGAAACAAAATGGAATGTATACAAAGAATGCTGGTCACAGAAACTGAATTTCTGTAGGCAAAGTGATCCCAGAAAAGGCATGAGGACAGAATACCCTTTGAACCAACAAGGCTATCAGTAATTATTCCTTTAAGTAAAAATGTATGAACTCAGAATTAGTTATTTATTTTTAATTTAATTTGGCCTCTGTCGACATGCTGGCTGCTTGTGTGGATGCTTCATCGAAGACCAAACTGGGTGGTAACTAGCAGTGGAATCCAGGATGCGCATTTTATCCCATTTAAGACTCGTCAACTGGATGTACCCATATTCCCCAGTGAGTAGTGATGGTGTCCCTACTGACGACCGAGTGGTCTAGTGGATAGCGCTTCGAGTCCTAATGGGAACACCATCACTACTCAGTGGGGAATGCAGGAACATCCAGTTGACGAGTCCCAAATAGGATGAGATTCGTAACTTGGATTCCACTGTCAGTTACCAACCATTAAATTAATGCAGAAACAAGTTAACTAAAAAATTAGCTAAATCATGAAGGTGAGACATTTCTATTTCTTGTTATTTAATCTGGTTTACAACATTTTGTCAGTGT